TGAGTTACATCTTGCTATACACGAGTTATATACTTTTATGCGCGCGTTACATGTAATTATGTGTGAGTTACATCTTGTTATGTGTGAGTTACAACTTGTTATACACGAGTTACATACTTTTATGCGCGAGTTACATGTAATTATGTGTGAGTTATATCTAATTATTTTTTATTTTTTACTTATCTTTATCTTGAACTAATTCAATTATACTCCCTCCGTCCCATATTTATCTTCATAGTTACTATTCACATGGTCAACTCAAATTATTCTTACTCATTTACTTTATATATCAAATTTTTATCAAACTTAAATTTTCTTGATCAGACTTTGTAGCGGATTTAATGTAGTTTCTGAATATGTAAATTTAATTTACTAAAAATAATCTGAGTGTGAACAGGGATCGAGTTGCTTTATTGTCAGTCAAGCATCGTAAACCGAACTACGAAGATAAATATGGGACGGAGGGAGTAACTGAATTAATTTTTTTCTTTGCCAATTTAATACAAAATTTTATTAATCCACATAAAATAAGTATATTGTATTTCATATTCATACACTATTTTTCAAATGATAAAAATGAAAGATGTAGCAGGGGTTTATTTCATGGTATAACTCACATACATTAAGATGTAACTCACGTATATTCAGATGTAACTCGCGTACAATAAGATATAACTCGCGCAGAAGAAGATGTAACTTCATGATATATTATCAAATGTAACTTCAAAATAATTTGTTAAAATTACATAAGCAATATTGGTCTCATTTGATAGATCATGAAAAATAAAAAATAAATGATATAAAATTTATAAAAATCGGATATCAAATAAAAAAGTTATTGCAATTTTTAACAATAAAAGAAATAAAAAATAATGGATGCTGGGTCATTTTGGGATCGGGCGCACCATCCTCATGGTGCGCCGATACCAGGATATAAATTGCCACTACGTATATAGATTTAAGATAAATTATCCAAAATAGGACTACAAACAATTGTATATTTCAAAATAGGACAATCATCTATTTATTTCCAAAATAGGACTAATTATTGTCATGTTTTGGCAGTACCAGACTTTAATCATGACAATATTTTTCAAAATTGTCAGTAATTGCTCCTATTTGGGGAATAAAAACATGGGAATCCTGATTTGGAATTTTCAAATTTTTTTACTCCTATTTCGGGAATTTTTCCTAGATTTAACCATACAATTGTAATTAAATATGGTATTCCCGGTGCAATAAACTCACAAATAAAATTCAATTAGCTTGAATCGAATGATTCCATTGAAATTGATGAAATAATGATTTAAGTTGCTCATCTGTTTAACTATAAAAAAATGTACTTCTTTCACCCCTTATAAATTTGTCTAAATTTTCATTTTGTTTCATTAATTTTGTCATTTTCCCTTTTAAATAAAGAATTTTTTGTTCCTCATAATTTTCCTCTTATCTGCATAAATCTTAGTTGCGCACTTTTTACTTTTTTTAGTCTACATCTGAGTCAATTTTGGCAAAGTTATAAGGACGAAGGAGTATTTAAAATATATTTTGTATAAAATAAAATAAAATAAAATAAAAGGTTGTCTAAAGAAATAGCTAAAATGATCCTCTACAGAAACTTAACTCAATTCAATCAGAAAAATAAGCTTCAAACTTATTTTGATTATTACACAAGTCAGCGCATAATATCAAAAATTATGTGTTCGATAAAAAAATAGTTGATAAGACTAATAAGCTGAAAATAGGAATTACCAAACATCCTTTTATCAAATTTGGCAGCCCATATTTTCGGCTTATCAATCGTATATCTGGCAATTTTTACTTGATATGTAGCTTTTGATTTTGCGCGTAGAGCGGTGTAATAATGAAGATAAGTTAGTTTAAATTTACTTTTCAAATTGTTGAAGAGAGCTATTTGATATATTTTCATATAATTTTTTAATAAAGTATATTTTAAATAAAAAATATATATTTCAACAAAATCAATCAATTCAACTGCTTCGACATAGTCCATTTAAACACATTCATTCAATTTGAGTATTATCAACATGGTTTTTAATAAAAGAATTAAAAGTGAAAAATGGAATAGAAGGAGTAAAGGAAGAGGGAACACTTCGTATGGAGCAAAAAGTAAAATAATAAACATAATATGAATGCTTCATATTAAATAAAGGGTTTTTATTTTGTGCAAGTTGTTTTGACAAGTTTAGTTTTAGTCAAATAAAAGAAACCTTAAAAGTTCATTTTGCAAAGGAAAGGGCGAATCTAGTATACGTTACGGAGTTGTTTTCTTAAATAAATAAATAAAAACTTGTTAGATTATACGGAGTTGATTACCTTAGGAATATGTTTTTACTTGGATTATTTTCAATCTATGATCATATTTATCTGATTTAAACATATCAGACGACAGCAGACCAGATCAGGCCAGACTTTCATAGTTATAAAATACACAAAAGCATACACTTATGAGACAAGACCAGATCAGTTCAGACCAGATTAGATTTAAATATCAAATCAAGTAAAAACATTCTTAAAGTGATTTCAATATTGTTAAGAGGCCATTTTTTGGGTTGCGTCGGAATTAAGTATTCATTTTCTTATATGGGCTATGGATCAGGCCCATAGTACCATCATAGAGCATCAATTTGGACTAATGAGTTTTTGATATATTCTTACATCTCTAAATCTTGGTTGTAACTAGTCATATACATTGTACTAGACAATCTTCTACGATCCATCGATCTCTAAGTCATTTGAATCCGATGAGAGTGAAGCGGACTATTGCACTTCAACATTTAATACACAATCTAGTGTAGTCAAGGAGAGCCAGGAATTCTTGGATTCAGGAGAGTCTGTCATTTCTTACTCATTGGCAAAGGGATGTTTCTTGAAGTGCTTTGATTCAAGTTGGAGGAGATGAGGATTAAAGGATTTGGAAAATCGAGAAGGAGATGTCTTTACATATTGGAGTAGGGAGATATTGAACCTGCATACATTGCAGTGTCATCTCTTTCTTTTCTATTTCCCCACACCATACTTAAATTGCCAGATTAAATCGCCCTTAAGTATACTTTGCACTAAATTTAATTCGTTGATGTGTCCACTCGGGCTCTACTACTCAACTGAGTATAAGAGGCGGTTGGTTACTTCCGAACCTAATCTCAAGTATAAAGGGGTTCTTTCTAAAATATGAAATAATTCCAAAGATAAAATCAAAATAAAAGTTGTGAATAAAAATGTGACTTTAGTAATTTTAGTGACTTTAATTCTATTCAAATATTACATTGTAGTGACTATAAAACTTACTCTTAGTAAATTATAGTCACATTTTTATCCATAAATTTGTTATTAGTAATATTTTAGGAAAAATCTCATTAAATCCTACTATATACAAAAGGAAGTGGAAAGCTGCCCATTTTCCCGCCTAAAGATGCGGGTCAAAAAATGGGTCGGGTATGTGACTGTCAGATCATTCATCTATTCCGCTGAATCGTCAAATGCATTGGGTATTGAATCACGGTTGCGTATTGAAAGGTTTTAACCCATGGTTAAACAAGTGAAGTAGTGAACTAATATACAGAGCACTCTCTGTTACACATCGGCTGACGAGACGAAAAAGGTGTCGATTGCCCTGTCTCTTTTTGCTTTTCCATTAGAGCCTATTCTGAATCCAATTTCCAAATCTTCTCGATATTCTGAATCCAATTTCCAAATCTTCTCGATTGAAAGCACTCCATTATAGCTGATTCTAAATGGCCATCGATCTATTGAAGCCAGACCAGAGGCTTCTGGTGGAGGGAACCATTAGAGACGGACTGGGGTTCTCCATTTTTCGTGGGTAGATCGTCGCCAACACTTCCGTGTTGGTTGCCCTTCCCTGTTAAATGTCCTTAGCCGATTGCTTTCTCGATCCCTGGGGGTCACGACCGCTGAAAGGGACAGCAAAAACGATGTGTTCATCATCGGGCACCGGTGACTGGTGATGTGGCACAGATGCGACCAGATCCAGCCATGGGAAGCTTGCACGTTCGATGGCGAGTAGACGGAGATTGTGTTCCAGCGTCGGCTGAACTACAGTTTTGGTTACGCCAGACAGACTTAATTAAACTGCAGCAAGGGATTCTTGACATGGTTAAAAGTGGTCCTTTCAATTCCTTGAGCCTCGGGAATAGTTTCACCAACATCGGCAACAACAGGCAACACTCAGAAGGAGTGTTAAGGTATATTGTCTATATCACAAGTTCTATTTTCCTTTAAAAAATGCATATATTGAATAAATTTTAAATTAAATTCTTAATATTGTAATAGGTGCAAGGTCAGCGGACGTGTTATGAATGTACAGACATGTTGGAAAAAATAGCAGCCAGAATGAGAAGGGAGGTTGAGAAGGTATATTTTAATGTTTACACATCGATGCTCACTTTTTTATTTTAGTTGGGGATTCTTTGATTCCAACTTGAATACATTCATACATTAATAGAAAATGCGCGACCCTAATCATTTCACATAAGATATGGAGGCCTGTATGGATGTATCCACAAAAGGGGGGTTGTTTAAATTTAATGAAGAAGAAGACATGTGTTCTTCAAGGTTTGCCCTGGGGCTTCAGGTGTCAAGCTATGGCCAGAATTATTTGGACTAGGTACTAGGTAGGTATAAGCATATAAGAGTATTAAAATTTGTTAGTATATGTTAGAATGATGATTCCATTTACATAATAGCAATATTGAGGAGGTTTAATTCTTAGTATATGGGAAAAGATGATGTCAGCTCCATATTTGGTCACGCCCCAGACCGCATCCAGGCCACGCAGACAACCGTCGTACAACCCGATAAGAACAACAACAGTTCATCCCTGTTGAATTGTACAAGGCGTCCGATTGATTATATTGTCAAACCAATTAGTAAACACATACAATCAACATCAATATCATAATCAAACAAATGCTGAAAGAATAATATGTTTGATACGTAGCCACACGTGGCAAACACGGGCACGCAGGCCCCCAACTGTTTTAAAGAAAACATTGTTCGAAAATTCATGAGCAGTTTATAAATTTGAAATAAGAATGGAAGCACGAACCACGTCTTCCTTCTTGATCAATCACCCTAGGCAAAGGTGCAGGTAGTAGGACTCTAGCCTCAACCTGAAAAATGTGAGGACCCCCGAAGGGGTCAGTACTCCATAGAAGTACTAGTGACAAGCAGGCTATATGAAGAATAACTAATGTTTCAGACACGAGATCCAAAAATAGGGTGATACATATATGTAACTGTCACTCATCCGCCCGATGATACATACTATATATATATTTGAAAAATACTCAACTCGTGGGTCCGTTTCCTTAAAAGCATTTTAGTGATAAAGTTCTTACCTCACTTTTCTCACTCCTTTCCCGAATGCCTAGCTCACAAGCTACATTCTACATTCATAATATCCTACCGAGTTTTGGGAGCATTTAGCATCCCGGGGATAGTCAACCTCAACCGAGTTTCAGGATCATTTACCGTCCCGGGGATACTCAACCCCAACCGAGTTTCAGGATCATTTACCGTCCCGAGGATACTCAACCCCAACCGAGTTTCAGGATCATTTACCGTCCCGGAGATACTCAACCCCAACCGAGTTTCATGATCATTTACCGTCCCGGGGATACTCAACCCCAAACTTATTCCTTACCAAACCCTAACCTGGATATGGCTAACCTTTCATTCCTTTAACTATGGACAATACCTAGCCCTATAGTCATATAACAATCCTTAGTAACCAACGTGGGCGGGTCCCACCTGAACGGCCCACGTTAACCTACTCAAAACTGCCCGTTTTGAGCATAACCCAATACTCGATCGAGTACCCACCTATACTCGGTCGAGTACAGGAGACAGTAGCCCGTAAGGCCAATTTTTAGTGTATACTCGATCGAGTACCTACCCATACTCGATCGGGTATAGAAGAAAGTAGCCCGTGGGGATTTTTTTTAGCAAATACCCGGTTGGGTATTTGCCAATACCCGGTCGGGTATAGCAGTTGACTTGGCGGTCAACGCCCGTTTGACCGCCCAAACGGAGTCCGATTAACGTGAAATTTTACATGCAAGTACTCTTTGACGTCCTTAATCCAAAAATACCTGTTTGGGTCCTTGGAACACCATACATATCAATTTTATGGTAATTTCACCAATCAAACCTATAAATCATGCTTTCTAACTATGTTATATTCTTTAACATAGCATAACACATACTTTAATACCATTAATCAATCCATAAAACATATTCTTGATTAATTTAGGTAATCTCATGCCTCACGCAAAAGTTATAAATCATAAAGCCGTCTTCTCACCTTAAATGAAGCTTATGAAGTGCTAGCCTTCCTTATTGAGCTCCGACGAAACTCCGTCGAACTTCAACGAACTCCGGCGACAATTCCGGCGACCCTTTCAACTCCGTGAAAGTTCCCAGAATACCTTAGACAAGTTACTAACAAGGTTTTATCATCATAAAACCCATATTAATACAAATAATCTCTAAAAGGTTATTTTCCGGCGAACCAGTTACTTTGGCTCCTAAGTCCGTTCTTGGACTTAGAACTACTTCCAACCCCTCATTCTACACTTCCAAACGTGTAGAACAATCCTAGGGTGTGAAATATTATTTTCTAATCATATGAGATGATTGAGGAATAAGAGATGGGATAAATGGAGTCATTACCTTGTAAATCTCAACTTTTCCTCCCTATCCTCCCATTTTCTCTTCTCTTTTCCCTTCCTTCTTCCTCCCCTTACTTTGTGCGAAAATGGTGGATGAAAATGGAGTTTTGGCAGACCTTGTCTCTCTTCTTTGAGTAGGTTGGCCGAGCTGATTGAGTTGGGGTGATTGAGAATAGCCATTTTGGCTTATTCATCAATAATATGGGAGAGGCCCCCCCCTTTCCTATCACATTTGGCCTCTAGACACTTTCTCCCCTCTTTCCTCATGCCAATGTGCGGCTCCCCTTGATATTTTCCGGACCAAGGACGTGGGTTGGCCCCCAATCATGTGGGAGGTCAACCCTTTGTGTCCCCGAGTGTACAATCGGTCCCGAAAGTTGTATTTTCCGGACTGATTTAATTACATTTTATTTTATCGGGTCAAATAAAATATAACGCATGTTCCGAATCCTTTTTGGACTTTATAATGAATATACATTCCTCAACTTTAAGTTAGAAGTCTCCGAAATCCCTTTTCGGGCTGTTATCTGATAAATTGTTGATACTGATAGTTGGGCCCCGTTTTACCAACTGGTCAACCCTATGTCATTGCCATGGACCAATTTGGATATCCACCACCATATACATATTATCTAGGCCAAGATTAATATAATATGTGGTCCCGACAGTACCGGGCGGCCCCCACTTCCGGTGTGGGCCAACATGAATTTTATTATTCACGTAACAGAAATGATAAAAATTTACAATCACATAAAAACGCTTTTATTCATTTCTCAGGGTTCAATACATAATTTGATAAGGTACAAATACTTGGGGGCGGTGTTACAAGTTCTACCCCCCTTATTTGGGATTTCGTCCCCGAAATCCACGTGTCTAGCCAAACAGAAATGGATATTGTTCCCTCATCAGGCTCTCCACTTCCCAAGCTTGCTCCTCGACGCGATCACTCTTCCAAAGTACTTTTACCATCGGTACCTCCTTGCTCCTTAGCTTCTTTACCTGCCGATCTATGATCTTTACTGGCTGCACCGTATAGTGTAGGTCTTCTCGGATTTCCACCTGTGGTTTCTCAAGAATATGTGACGGGTCCCGTACATACTTCTTGAGCATAGAGACATGAAACACGTTATGAATCTTTTCCAACTCTGGAGTCAACTGAAGTCGGTATGCTACGACCTCAATCCTTTCAATGATTTTGAATGGGCCTATGTAGCGCGGGTTAAGCTTACCTCGACTGAGGAACCTGATGATCCCTTTCCAAGGTGACACCCTCAGAAATACTTCATCACCGACCTCAAACTCCAACGCCCTCCGACGTTTATCTGCATAGCTCTTCTGCCGGTCTCGGGCAGCCTTGAGTCTATCCTGAATAACCTTTACCTTTTCCTTGGTGATCTCGACTAGCTCGGTGCCCTCAAGCTTAGCCTCGTCGACCTCGTCCCAGCACAAAGGTGTCCCACATTTCCTCCCATGCAATGCTTCGTATGGAGGCATGCCTATACTCGCCTGGTAACTATTGTTATAGGCGAAATCCACTAAAGCCAACTGATTGTCCCAGCTAGGGCTTGTTTCGGTTCGGGTCCCGAATCGATCTGAACAAACCGAAAACCGAACCGACATTTCGGTTTTACTAAATATCAAAACTGAAACCGAACCGATCATAAACCGGGTACCGATTAGTCGGGACCCAATTTTTCGGGTCGGTTTATCGGAAACCGATAAAAAACCGAAATATTTAAAAATAATATAAATATTGTACTAGTTTTAATGATACCAAGCCCAAAACAAGTTTATGATTTTTATATTAATTTGATCACAAAAGACCATGGGCTCGGAGCTTATCAATTAGCTTTAACCAATTTGAAATGTCTTTATATAAAGAATTTTGGAAGTGTAAACCATCTCTTGCCCGGTGTGGGACAAAGAGACATTAGAAAAGAAAATTCAAGGTCCAAACAAAAAAATGCCCTTGCGGGAGTCGATCCCTGAACCTCTCCGATATGAAACCGCATCAACGACCAATTTGCCAGAACGCTTGGTTTGTCACTTTAGATCTCGGAATATTAATATAACGTTTCTAATTATCATTAACTCTACTAAAAATGTCGATTCGGTTCGGTTTGAACCGACTTTTTAAGAATATAAACCGAGTCCGAACCGTTTTTTATCGGTTCCCAATTTTCGGGTCCCATTTTCAATCGGTTCGGGTCGGGTCGAGTTTTTTTCAAAGCGGTTCGGTTTTTTTCGGTTCGGTTTTCGGTTTTTCAGTCTAAAAAGCCAGCCCTAGTCCCAGCTTCCCTGGAATTCCAAGGCACATGCCCTCAACATGTCCTCCAAAATCTGAATCACCCGTTCAGATTTCCCATCCGTCTGAGGATGAAATGCGGTGCTAAACCTCAATTTCGTACCCATGGATTCCTGGAACTTAGGCCAAAACCGTGATGTGAACTGTGGGTCTCTATCCGATACTATGGTAACCGGAACCCCATGCAGTCTCACAATCTCATCAGTGTACAATTTGGCCAATCGCTCGAGCGTATAGGTAGTGTTGATAGGTAGAAAATGAGCACTCTTGGTCAGCCTATCAACCACCACCCATACTGCGTTGTAGTTCCTAACCGTCCGTGGCAGACCCACCACGAAGTCCATGGTAACATGCTCCCACTTCCATTCTTTTTTTTGGATGAAATGTAAATTTATATTAACACCCAAAGAAAACTATACATCATGAGTTCTAGATCTCCTAACCCCCCCCACTCCTACATAGTGTAGGGGTAAGAAGAGGTTTTATTCGATCTAATCAAAGGTCAAAAAACTAAAAAAGGGCCTAAGTATACAATACTAAATGCCCAAAAATCACAAAAGAAAATGGTGCTGCCATGATGCACGCACACAGATCATAACAATACATCAAAAAACAGATGCGAACATCCCATCCAAGAGGAGGTTATAGTGAAGTCTCCCCTTAGCCTCAACCAGAAGTCCGATGTGTTGCAAGGTACACACACAAGTCCAAGGAGGTTATGCCGCGACTTCGGCATCCATCATCAAAAGTTGATCAGTTCATGCGGGTATAAGTTGTATAGGACCTTATACACCACATGCTTGATCTTAGCAATTATATCTCCCTCCGTCTTTGATCCCCCCTCAAATCGTATCTCGTTACGCCCATGCCAGATATAATAAATCGTGGCGCAGAAAGCGAGGCGTGCTGCCTTTGCCTTCAACGTCGATCCTCTATGAGTCTTCATAATCCACTTCACGGCACTTAGCAAGGTGGTCATATCATGCCCAAGTCTCATCCAGTTCCTTATGTGCTGCCACACCCTACAAGTAAAGGGGCAAAGGAAAAAAAGGTGTGGTATTGTCTCCAAACCACCCTTGCACAGGTCACACCTATTCACAATGTGCAGATAACCGAGGCTATCCTGGGTAGGAAG